CTAGAGTCTGTCAAGACTGGCCCGTACGGGCAGGGGTACCTTTACCTTTACCTTTTACTACTTCCCTTGGGACACGGGTGGCGCTGTGGATTAAACCACAGAGCCTAGAACTTGCCGATCAGAAGGTCGGCGGTTCGAATCCCCGCAACGGGGTGAGCTCCGGTTGCTCGGTCCCTGCTCCTGCCAACCTAGCAGTTCGAAAGCACCTCAAAGTGCAAGTAGATAAATAGGTACCGCTCCGGCAGGAAGGTAAACGGCGTTTCCGTGCGCTGCTCTGGTTCACCACAAGTGGCTTTGTCATGCTGGCCACATGACCCGGAAGCTGTATGCCGCCTCCCTCAGCCAATAAAGCGAGATGAGCGCCGCAACCCCAGAGTCGGTCACGCCTGGACCTAATGGTCAGGGGTCCTTTTACCTTTACCTTTATTACTTCCCTTGATCTGGACACTAGACTTCTGTTGATGCAGCCTAGAATATCCCTAGCTCTTTTGCTGCTGCATCACACTGTGGACTCATGCTAAGCTTATGGTCCACCAAGACCCTTAGATCCTTTTCACATGTACTGCTAGTAAGCCAGGTGTCCCTATCCTATATTTGTGCAGCTGTCTTCTTTACCTGCAGCACACCTGATGTTCACATATGATCTTGTGGGGCAGATGTGTCTGGCTTGGGTAAAATGGCCTCACAGGTCATATTAGGATACCTGGTGGGCCTAATATGGCTCAAGGACCAAAGGTTTTCAGTGTTTGACATAAATGCAGGAGAGGGAATATTTTGGGGTATCAATACAATGTCAGGTAGTTCATTGTTCCCCTAACCCAAAAATAACGGCAGATGTCAAAGGAAGGAGCTCAACCATGACCTAAAGGTCACTTATCTTATTTTGAAACTTTAAAGAAAAACTAAAAACTTAAAAGAAAACTTCTTTTGCAGCGGGGCAGGAAAGATGCCAAATAAAATATTATTCAGAGAGCAGGCCTGAGATTTACAATAAAATGCATTGCTATATAATGTTTTCTTTGTTAATTCTGATTTATCACCCTGTCAAAAATCTATAAATATAGAGATTTTTATACAGACATCAGATTCAGTCCATCAGAGCCTCTTGGGCTTTTAGGTTAGGAAACTCATTATTGCTGTGTGTCTGTGGGACATGTCAGACATATCATTATGGGTAAAAGTTTAAGAAAACATTTGAAATATTATTTGCTTGTGACAATCAGTAAATTGTGGCTTCACCCACACTTATCTTGCTAATGTGTAAATATTGTTTGATGATGAAGATTTGCACCATATCTATATTCCACCTTCATTTCAAGAAATACATTTTCTGAAGTCTTTTTGATTGAAAACGTTTTGTTGGAGTAGCTCCTTTCAGAACACACAGTGCCTAGTTAACTGGCACCTAAGTGTTTTCGAAATACCAGGAGTAAGATAGTCTCCTAAGGGAGGTGGAAACATAACATTACAGTGAAGATAATTTGGTATAGTTTGGCATTACGTGACTCCCCACACACACCATGCTGGGAAGCTACTGGGTAACAATTGCACCATTGTTGGGATTAATCCAATGCTGTTTGCATATAAACAAAGTACTGGGATCACAGGTCGATTGTTTTAGCTTTACAGGGAATGAAACTGTAAGCTATCCCCCATCATATCAGAAGTAATATACACTTTGCGTTTTATGTTCTCAGCAGGAAAACCTAGTTTCAGGTAATATTTTTTGACCATCTGGATTCATCTTGGATCCATAGTATTTGCATATCTATGTTCATTATTTTTCACAGTAAGAGGGCCACCCATACTTGTTTCCATGAAAGCTTTACCTCACAGAATTATCTTTATCATCTGCTAATCACCGGACAGCAGCCACGAAATTAAAAGACGCCTGCTTCTTGGGAGAAGGGCAATGGCAGGCCTAGACAGCATCTTGAGAAGTAGAGACGTCACCTTGCCAACAAAGGTCCGTATAGTTAAAGCCATGGTTTTCCCAGTAGTGATGTATGGAAGTGAGAGCTGGACCATAAAGAAGGCTGATCGCCGAAGAATTGATGCTTTTGAATTATGGTGCTGGAGAAGACTCTTGAGAGTCCCATGGACTGCAAGAAGATCAAACGCATCCATTCTTAAGGAAATCAGCCCTGAGTGCTCACTAGAAGGACAGATCGTGAAGATGAGGCTCCAGTACTTTGGCCACCTCGTGAGAAGAGAAGACTCCCTGGAGAAGACACTGATGCTGGGAAAGATGGAGGGCACAAGGAGAAGGGGGCGACAGAGGACAAGATGGTTGGATAGTGTTTTCGAGGTTACCAGCATGAGTTTGACCAAACTGCGGGAAGTAGTGGAGGACAGAGGTGCCTGGCGTGCTCTGGTCCATGGGGTCACGAAGAGTCGGACATGACTAAACGACTAAACAACAACAACAATCACCAGACAAAAGGAAGCAGGCCTGGCCTTGGTTAAGAAAAGAACTATCAGTTAAGGCTGATGGTTTAAAGCTTTAAGCAGCAGTCAGTAGTTCATCTTCTGGGATAAATAAATAAAACTCTCCAATCTGCAGGGGCTTTCGTCTAGGAATGCATTTGTCATGTGGATGCAGTACCCAAAAGTGTTTTCTCAATTATCACTAAAAGTGCCTTTGAGACATTCATGTGACTCTGTTTTTATGTGTGAATATTCTGGAACAATACAACCTTTAGAATGCATCTGAAGGCAGCTCTGTATAGGGAGATTTTTAATGTTTACTGTTTTAATATGTTTTTATATATGTGGGAAGCCTTACAGAGTTGCTGGGGCAACCCAGGAAGATGGATAGGGTACAAATACAACAACTATTATTATTATTATTATTATTATTATTATTATTATTATTATTATTATTATTATTATCACAATACTTTTTTGTGAATCAGCTTGTGATCTTCAGATGAAGGGTGGTATACAAATAGAATAAATTAAAAGAAATAAAATAAACTGAATAAAATGATTAAAAAGCTGGGAGCTGGGGATAAGAGGAAAAGAAAAGGATCTAGCTAAGTTGAATAAGTCTTCAGCAGACATCCATGGGAATGGAACAGGCTTGAAGCAGAGAAAAATTGAATAGCCTTCTGAGTATCCAAAAGGGAAATAGTATGAGGATCTGTGATGTGGTCAGTTATAAGAAATAAGCTTCCTGATTGGCATTAGCTCTGACAAAGGAGGTTGATTACTTTAATGGCAATGCTGGACAGAACAGATCTTAAATTCTAAATAACTCAAGTACTGGTGACCAAAGGTAGACATACTACCCAGAAGGAGCATGATGTGTCCCCCACCAGAGGTACTACCCCTTAACACCCCCCCCCACACACACCCCAGAGACATATAATTTACAGTGGTGCCTCGCAAGACGAAATTAATTCGTTCCGCGAGTTTTGTCGTCTTGCGATTTTTTTCGTCTTGCGAAGCACGGTGTCGGGAAAGTTTTGGAAAAGCTTCAAAAATCACCAAAGTCTTTAAAAACCTCAAAAAAGGCTACCACACCGCGTGCTATGAGTTGCTCCTCAAAGTCAAGTCGCAAACTTGCAAGACGTTTCCGTCTTGCGAAGCAAGCCCATAGGGAAAATCGTCTTGCGAAGCAGCTCAAAAAACAAAAAACCCTTTCGTCTAGCGAGTTTTTTGTCTTGCGAGGCATTCGTCTTGCGGGGCACCACTGTATTAATTTACTACAGGAGGGGGCCTGATGGAGCTGTACTCCTCCCTTGATGGGAGGCAGGTGGCGCTGTAGTCTAAACCACTGAGCTTCTTGGGCTTGCCGGTCGGAAGGTCGGTGGTTCGAATCCCTGCGACGGACTGAGCTCCTGTTGCTCTGTCCCAGCTCCTGCCCACCTAGCTGCTCGAAAGCATGCCAGTGCAAGTAGATAAAGAGGTACCGCTGCGGCGGGAAGGTAAACAGTGTTTCCGTGTGCTCTGGCTTCTGTCATGGTGTCCCATTGCACCAGAAGCAGTTTAGTCCTGCTGGCCACATGACCCGGAAAGCTGTCTGTGGACAAACGCCGGCTCCCTCGCCCTGAAAGTGAGATGAGTGCTGCACTCCATAGTTGCATTTGATTGGACTTAACAATCCAGGGGTCCTTTGCCTTTTACCTTTTATCCTCCTCCCTTGCTGATATCAGTGGTAGTTCTGGCTGTCTTGCCCTCCTTGAAAGCAAGATCAAACCCAAGAGCAGATCAGGTGAAAATGTTGAGCACAATACCCAACCAGTCAGGGAAAGCAGCACCAGTCACATAGTTTTTCCTTAAGGCAGCGGCCTTGACAGCAGTTAGACTCCTCAATGTTTGTATCGGATGTAGGAGAGATTCCAGGGACTCATTAAGCTTGCGCTAATTTTGTGGCCCACGTGTAAGTTGAATCACATGTGTGACAGCTGCAATGGGTGGAGATTTGGCTTAATCCACTGTAGCTTCCTCTGTAATTTTGCAGCGATAGAGCGCTCGTTGCTAAAAGCTTAGGCCAGGCTTCCTCAACCTCGGCCCTCCAGATGTTTTTGGCCTACAACTCCCATGATCCCTAGCTAGCAGGACCAGTGGTCAGGGATGATGGGAATTGTAGTCTCAAAACATCTGGAGGGCCGAGGTTGAGGAAGCCTGGCCTAGGCAACCAATGTAGTGCTCTCCAGATGTTGTCAGCCTAGAGCTCACAGCATCCCTTTCCATTGGCTTTGCTGGCTGGAGCTGGCAGTCCAGCAACAGCAGGGTCCCACATGAGCTATGTGGCTCAGAGCAGTAGCAAAATAGGCACATAGCCTTCAGCTTGTGCAGAGTTCCAGGTGAACCGAGCTCCTTGGTACAGGGGCTCACCAAAGACATGTCAAGAGCCGTCTTAGCATGGAATGGCCCTAACTATTGTAGTTATGCTGTTTAGTGAGGATCAAATAACACCTTTCAGATGTGGCTGCCCTTAGACTCATAGACAGTGTTTTCCAACAGATCAGAGCCTCTGAATTTCATTCTTCTAGATTGATACTTACGATGTGACAGTAACTGAAGACCTCGGGGAGATCCAGCTGATAAAAATTGAGAAACGGAAGTACTGGTTTCCTGATGACTGGTACTTGAAGTATGTCACCGTGAAAACACCCATGGGTGACTACTTAGAGTTTCCTTGTTACAGATGGATTACAGATGACAAAGAGGTGGTACTCCGAGACGGACGAGGTGAGTGCTTTGCAGTGTCCTTGACTAAGAGCACTAGGCAAAGCCAGAGAACTTCTTTACTTAGTTCCCTACTTGTTGTATTACTCCAAGGTATCCAGACAAGAGATATGACTCATCACCCCCAATATGTAAATCAGATTGTTCTGTTCAGTCTAAAACGGTTGCTAAGTAGCTCCTTTGCTATGATAGTCCACCAGATCACATGTAAGCACTTATGGAAAATAGTTTATATCTGCTGTATTACATTTCTATCGGGGGCACAACTACAATAATATTATTTATTCTTTAACGACTACTAATTAAAAAAACAAAGCAGTAGTTGAGAATGCACCACTACAGTGATATGGACTTTAAGCAGAATAACATTACATAAGCAAGATAGGAAATTTATCTCCATTTGGTCGCCTAGAGCTCCAGGAACCAACAAGAGAGCCAACTGGCTAGCACACAACACCCAACCAGTCAGGGCTTACATCAAAGCTCAAATTTTTTTCTTCAGACCCTTGGTGGCTGAGTGCCTCCAGGCCTGATATCTAAATCTTCCACCCTGTCCCAGAAGTCATTATTGGGATGGTGTGGGGTGTGTGTGTGTCACATCACCTGCCACATCCTGGTGACACTTATATCTGAAACACAAACAGTAAATCAAGACAATAAAGCAAAGCAAAAACCCTTGCCAACAAGTATGGAGAAATAATTGGACAAACCAACTGGACTTCCAGAAGGTGATCTGTTTCCTCCTTCAGCTGTCTCCACTCATCACTGGTGATGGCCCTTGACAAATGAAGCCCAAAGAAATGTGACCATTGGCTGAAAAAGCTTGCCTACCCCAGCCCTGAAGATTAAGAGTTTGAGACAGGAAGGAACATGTAGAGGAAGAATAGGCAGAGAGGAAGGCGAACATGACGAATTGCAAAGATGAGACAGCTTGAAGTTCGTAATGATTGGCAAATAATCAGCTGCATGCTTGGCCTTTAGCTTATTAGTACGAAGGCGAGAACTGTGCTTGCCCTTTGTACAAAGCTATTGGTGCATTTTTCAGTCTGCGAATCTTTTCATCACCTTCCACAGCCAAGCTTTCTGCGGATGACAAGACTCAAGTCCTTAAGCATCACAGACGCAAAGAGCTGGAGGATCGTCAGAAGATGTATCGGTCAGTTTCCTAAAACTTCCTATTTAGCGCTATAATTTTTCTATAGTACCCTGAAGTTGTGATCAAGGAGACCTAGCTTCAATTTTACTATATATTGAAACACCAATGCCTACAGAGTTGTGGCTCTCAAACGTCTCTCAGACAATGCTTGGACAATGCTTGCATATTTCATAGAGACTTAGAGCCACACACAGCCATCACTTCTGGAACTGCTACATAAAGTACAAGGCCATTCTGCACGTTCCATATATGCTGAGTTCATTAGGCAAGTGTTAGTTTCTACTAGTCGGCTGTGAAGTCCAGTCCCAGCAATAATACAGCAATTTATCAACACATAGATTGTCTGAATTTTTTCCGCAAACTCTGGACTCTTGCGGTAACGGGGGGAAAGTTCTCTGATTAAAAATGAATCAAATTCATATGAGTTTCAATTACATCAGTTTTCTGATCTAGGTCAAAGTAAAGCTTCGTCTTCTGCACTAGTGAGATAGAGAAAACGTGGTGTACTCATGACCCAAGAAACGTTGATTAGTTGCAAAGCCGGAAAGGGGGGCATTCATACATCTTCTTTTTAAACCAGAGAATAGAGTGCAATTAAAAGCCTTTTGCGTATTACATATACTGTATTTTTCGCTCTATAAGACGCACCAGACAGTAAGACGCACCTAGTTTTCGGAGGAGGAATATTCTGAATCTCAGAAGCCAGAACAGCAAGAGGGATCGCTGCACAGCGAAAGCAGCTATCCCTCTTGCTGTTCTGGCTTCTGGGATAGCTGCGCAGCCTGCATTCGCTCCATAAGACGCACACACATTTCCCCTTACTTTTTAGGAGGGAAAAAGTGAGTCTTATAGAGCAAAAAATACGGTATGCAGGGACTACAAATTATGGCTGGGTGCAATACCCAGAGGCACTATTCCACACCCAAAGATAGCTTGTCCAGTTCATAACCACCACCACCACCCCAGTTGTTGACTAAGGTATATGCAGGAAACAACTAAAAGTTGTGTGATCATTTCTGGCTACCTGGTGGGCAGTAGCAGATGGGAGGGGCGTCGCCACTGTCCTTGCTGCCGAATGGATTGGACGGAGGACGGGACCATGGCCAGACTGTGTTTCCTGTCCCAGCTTGCCCTCAAATGGAGAAGCTGCCTTCTGACTTATTTTCATTTTTAACCAGCTGGGCAGAATGGCACCCAGGCTTTCCCCTGAACATAGATGCCAAATCTCACAAGGAATTGCCTCGGAACATCCAGTTTGACAGCGAGAAAGGAGTCGACTTTGTTTTGAATTATACTAAAGCGTGAGTATTATGGTGGCTCTCATTATTTGGTGGCGATATTCTGGATTGGTCTGGGATAATGGGGGAAAGGACAAAATTGATTAAAGTACAATTTAAACAAATATTTTAACCACTTTAAATGACGATGCAAAACAGCACATGATTCCATTTTGAATGTAAAATTGCAGTAATCAGAACAATGGTAACAAACATAATACTTATGACTATACTTCATAAATGTTACCTTTACAGTACAACCCAAATAATCAATAAAATGATGCCAACTCTAACAACATATTCTAATTTTATCTACCCAGCCCCTGTCTTCTCACAATCTAGCTAAATTTGTAAATTAGCCAGTTCTAATATAGTCTAAGTTGCTTTTAAAAAAATCTTTTGTATGGAGGCTTTGCCTGTCTGTCCAACTACTGTCTCAATTATTGCTGTATTTATTTATTTAAAAGCATTAAAAAACCACATAATTTTTTTCAAAGATGTCTTGTTCACTTCTTTATAATGGCATTGTTGAGTTTGGATCCCAATCCACAAATCTTTTCACTTAGCAGTAAGTTTGTTATGTACTGATTTGAATAGGATCCAAAATGCAGCAGTCTGATTGGTCCTAGAACAACAGGATTCAGAATACTGCAGTCTGATTAGTCCTAGAACAATGCAACAGTCTGATTGGTCCGCAGGAGCCACCTAGGAGAATCCCGGAATTAGCCAATCACGTGCAGCCCATCGTGTAAATAATGTATATAAAGCAGATATTGTGGGGGGAATTTCCATTCCTCCTCACCACTATGAGCTGAATAAAGAGCATGAAATCCACTCTCGACTCCAAGTATATTTCAAAGTTGCATGCGCAGGTCTACATGCAGGGGTGAACTGGAAGTAGAGTTGTGTGGAAATGACTCCTTAAAGTTCTCCACTTTGTTAATGGGCAGAGAAATTGGTGGCCGATTCACCAAATTTCTCCAAGGGGAGTAGCAGTCTTCCAACAGTTTCTCAGTGGTGGGGCTCACAGCACTGGCAGTGCTATTAATACAGTTTTTCCTAAGGTTTGTTTTTGCTGCTGCTGTGCCAGCTGTGCTTGCATCCAGTCCAATTAGTTTAATACGGTCATAGACTGTATTTGCCTTTTTTTAATCCTCCATGATGCCTTGGACTTGGCGTTCCAGAGAATCGTGATGGAGAAATAGCAGCTACCATTAAAAATGGTGGATAATGTTCAGCAAAAAAATTGCAACTCAACCTTGTTTTTCCAGGAGGATTAGAAAAAGAAAAATCTTAGATATATACTCAGTAAAATGTCTCCTGAGAAATTTTGTTGCAGTTCTTTGGAAGGTAACACAAGATGATTTAGAAGTGGTGCCAGTGTCCCATATGTTTTAAAACACTGGGACCATTTCGCTTGTGAGATTTAGTTCCTAGATTTATTCCCCTTCATTTAATTTACGTCCTTCATTTCTGAACATTCATACAGAAGTGAAAGAAGTTATGGGGAAAGTGAAATGTGCAAGGAGAGAAATGAAACAAAAAAGATTACAGCCAATGATCTCACAGTATTTTTGGTTTTTTTTAGGATGGAAAATCTCTATGTTAATCGCTTCATGCACATGTTCCAATCTTCCTGGAGTGACTTTGCAGATTTTGAGAAGATCTTTGTCAGAATAAGCAATACCATTTCTGGTAAGATCGATTGCAGTTGTTGACACTAGCATCACAAGATGAATTAATCTGTATGTTGCTGACCAAAATTTTAGTTTTGGTCATTTAGTAATTTAGTAATTTTTCAGCTAAAAACCTTTGGGATATGTGTTAGGCCAATAATTATTGGAATTTATGTACCCAGCGGTTGCACAAGTCGAAGGGCACTCAAGAAACTAAGGGTAAGTAATGTAAATTTATTAATTTAATTACAGCATCAGCTTATAAAAGTAAAGGGACCCCTGACCATTAGGTCCAGTCGTGGACCGACTCTGGGGTTGCGGCGCTCATCTCGCTTTATTGGCCAAGGGAGCCAGCGTACAGCTTCCGGGTCATGTGGCCAGCATGACTAAGCTGCTTCTGGCAAACCAGAGCAGTGCACGAAACGCCGTTTACCTTCCTGCTGGAGCAGTACCTATTTATCTACTTGCACTTTGATGTGCTTTCGAACTGCTAGGTTGGCAGGAGCAGGGACCAAGCAACGGGAGCTCACCCCGTCGCAGGGATTCGAACCGCCAGCCTTCTGATCTCCAAGCCCTAGGCTCTGTGGATAAACCCACAGTGCCACCCGTATCCTGTACTGTAATAATGGTATGCTAAAGGCAATGTGTGTTCGGAGGTAAACCCTGTAAACGTGTATTTCAGGAGCCAAATCATGGAGTTATAAGCCTGTAGAAACCAAGTTTTCATTTTCACCATAGCAGGGAAGCCTTGAGAGGCCACAGTAAACCAATAAGCTTTTGGAAAAGAGGTATAAAACAGGCCACCCGCCCCTAATAGTTTTGCACAGTAGAGACCTAGCTAGTGGGGAAAGTCGAGTTAGAATCAGCAAAGTCTACTTAGCTTTCACCTCAAAGTCAGTGTAACTTTTAGTTTTTAGGGGAGGAAAGAGCAGCAAACCGAGCAAAAAAAGGAAGTATTTGCTGAGAGCTTCAGTTTTTCGTGCAGTTTTCAAAACCAGAGTGCAAATTGCAGCTTGAAACTGTGGGGTAACTTGCCCTTATCTTGATTTAAGAACAGAGCAGGCCTGACTTAAGGTTGTCAAGAGCACCTTGAAAGTGAAAGGATAGTCCTCCATCCAAGTCTTAGCCAGGGGTGAAACTGCCAATGTCAATTTCTCTCAGTTTTTCATCTTTGCAACCTTGAACTCAGTTCTGAACACTTGAATTTACATTCTTGTACACATTACCGTATTTTTTGCCCCATAGGACGCACCGCCCCATAAGACACACCTAGGGTTTTTTTGGGGGGGGGGAGAAATAAAGGGGGGGAAATTATTTTTCCCCCAGGCGCGGGGCTGGCGCGGGGGAAGCTCGGGCTTCCCCTGACCCCAGCTCCCAGAACAGGCTGCTGCCTGCAAGCCTTGCGAGCCTGGCGGGACCTCCCGCCGGGCGCGGGAGGCTTGCGGACACCTTCCCGAAGCACAGGGCGTCCTCGCAAGGCTTGCGGATAGCTTCCTGAAGCCTGGAGAGCGAGAGGGGTCGGTGCGCACCGATGCCTCTCGCTCTCCAGGCTTCAGCGAAAGCCTGCATTCGCCCCATAGGACGCACACACAATTCCTCTTCATTTTTGGAGGGGAAAAAGTGAGTCCTATAGGGCGAAAAATACAGTACTTGGTTGGAGATCTGGACTGCAATATTCCAAGACATGTGGGTTTTCTGAAGGAAGGCTACATGTTGGCTCTCCTATTGTTTTGCAAAATGCAAATTAGGTAGGGTCAGCTGTCCCGAATTGAACTTCTCCCCCATCCTTACTTTCAGCTCTGCATAAGACCACTTCTCAACTACCGTATTTTTCGCTCCATAAGACACACTTTTTCCCTCCTAAAAAGTAAGGGGAAATGTGTGTGCGTCTTATGGAGCAAATGCAGGCAGGAGGCTCCTGAGCAGAGCCTCCTGCCTTCATTCACACCTGGGATGCATACAGGCTCTGCTCAGCGCTCCCTTGTAAGGGCTCCCTTTTGTCCCTCATCCCGCTTTGCTGGGAAGCCAGCAGAACAAGAGGCGCTGCGCAGCTATTGCTCTTGCTCTGCTGGCTTCTCAGCGAAGCAGGAAGAGGGACGGAAGGGTTTAAAGCAAGAAAAGCGAGAGCCGCTTACATGCTCTGCACAGAATATTTTTTTCTTGCTTTCCCCCTCTAAAAACTAGGTGCGTCTTATGGTCAGGTGTGTCTTATGGAGCGAAAAATATGGTAGTCAGTTTCAAAAAGCTTTTAAAGGGAGTCCTAGAGGGCTTCAACTGCCCCATAGCCTCTGCATCATCCCCGCTTAATCACCACCCAGTATCCACTCCCTTGACCAGGCACAGGCAAACTCGCCCCTTCAGATGTTTTGGGACTACAATTCCCATCGTCCCTGACCACTGGTCCTGTTAGCTAGGGATGATGGGAGCTGTAGTCCCAAAACATCTGGAGGGCCGAGTTTGCCTATGCCTGCCCTTGACCATAAGTAGGCAAACTAAGGCCCGGGGCCTGGATCCGGCCCAATCGCCTTCTAAATCCGGCCCGCGGACAGTCTGGGAATCAGTGCTTTTTTACCTGAGTAGAATGTGCCCTTTTATTTAAAATGCATCTCTGGGTTATTTGTGGGGCATAGGAATTCGTTCACCCCCCCAAAAAATATAGTCTGGCCCCCCACAAGGTCTGAGGGACAGTGGACCGGCCCCCTGCTAAAAAAGTTTGCTGACCCCTGCCCTTGACAAATATCCCCATTCTCACAGCACTAAATGGACCTCAGTCCATCTGCCATTCCATTCCTTCTCACCGGAATTTGGCATGCTCAATAGTTCGACCTCCTGCTCAACTTGGTTCCATCAGCAACTAGACATGGCTATACATATAGAACAATGTAGCAAAAGAGCCCATTATGCGTATGTATGCTTTTTATGTAACAATATTTTAATATCCAGTAATCTCAGTCTGTTCCAGCGCCTCTAATGAAGACTGCAAGTGTGCTGGGCATATCATGTTGTTAAATAAATTTACCCTGAGCTCATTTTCAGGCTCTGCCTTCCTTTTCTCTCTTTGGTTTTTTATTTTTTTGTTTTACTTGATATAGCTTAATATAGAATAGTTGTTATTTTTTGGAAGGAGTTCTGCTAAAAATAGTCTTTGGGTTTCGTTCTTTTTTCTCCTGTTAGAGTATGTGATGCAGCATTGGCAAGAAGATTTTATGTTTGGATACCAGTTCCTGAATGGGTGCAATCCTGTCTTGATCCAAAAGTGCACAGAGTTACCAAAGAAATTTCCCGTGACTACGGAAATGGTAGAATGCAGTTTGGAGAGAAATCTGACTCTGGAAGAGGAAATAAAGGTATAAACATAGAATGGATTTATTTCAGTGTTAAAACTCATCAGTTTAAAAGCTTTTCAGGAAATGTATAGAAGCAGATTGCATTCTTTGGGAAAGGAGTGCTTTTGTCATCCAAGCAGAAGATTTGCAGTTTGAACACTGAGTTGAAATTCAGTGAATCAGTTTGTATGTAAAGTACGTAATTTGAAGGCAACATTCAGGTCAGGATAGGGAATCCCTACTATACAGTACTATGGGATGCACTTTTTAATGCTGAACATTTTGATGAAATTATAATACCTCTTCCTTGGCTCCATGAGGAATGATGGTCCTGTGAGCCACCGGGAGCAAATTATCCTTCCTCCGATGATCACATAAATAAAAAGATGACTAAACCTATTAACACATTGTTATATTTCTTTTAAAGCAATAACATCTGCCCACCCCCATTGTCTGACGTGTCTTTAAGACAGGAAGCTTCTTGAGGGCAGACACCTGTCTCTTTTTGTAAAACTCTGTGAGATGCATGCCTGGTATGAGACATCTAGCAGGCTTTGGAGGCAAGATCTGCTGGAATCAAAATCTTAGGATACAGTGGGTCTCCAAAGATAATTTGCTCATCCTGGTTCCACTGAGGCTCAGCCAGTCTTGGCTTCTGGGACGTCAGCAAGGCCAGTGTTAGTCCCCCAAAAGGGCTGTCCTGCAGGGAGGCTTAGGCTGGATCTCAACCCTGTCCAGCTCAGCCGTATGACCTAGCAACCCAGTGTAAGGTAAAGGTAAAGGGACCCCTGACCATCAGGTCCAGTCGTGACCGACTCTGGGGTTGCGGCGCTCATCACACTTTACTGGCCGAGGGAGCCGGCGTACAGCTTCCGGGTCATGTGGCCAGCATGACTAAGCCACTTCTGGCGAACCAGAGCAGCACATGGAAACACCGTTTACCTTCCCGCCAGAGTGGTACGTATTTTTCTACTTGCACTTTGACGTGCTTTCGAACTGCTAGGTTGGCAGGAGCAGGGACCGAGCAACGGGAGCTCACCCCGTCGCGGGGATTTGAACCACTGACCTTCTGATCGGCAAGTCCTAGGCTCTGTGGTTTAACCCACAGCGCCACCCATGTCCCAGCGACCCAGTGTAGAATGCTCTTTTAAAAGCTTGTTTTGCTTCTGCCTTGCTTCGGGAGAACAACAGCAGCTATCCCGCTTCTGAACAGTTTTTGGATCCGGTGTAACTTTACTCTGGCTTAATCTGTTTGCTTTAAGCCAGTTTCTTGGGCATAGGATTGCTGCCCTAAGAATTTAGTGCATTCTCAGGGACGAAAATCTGAAGCTCCTAAAAAGAGGCTTAAAGGACACAAATGACAACACATTTATGCAATGTAAGTTGCAACATTGTGATGTTATGTTGGTCACAAGTAATGTTGCATGTAAAACATACTTCAGTTAATATCTCACCACATTCCTTAATGCTAAGAACCTAACAAGACGAGGATGTAGCTAAAACATAGATTTTTCTTTTCATTTGCTGTGGGGAGAGTTTGTATTTTTGTGACTAATGTAACATGCTCAAGAGCATACATCTGATTTTGTTCCTAACATAAAATTTCTTGTCATTTCACCAAATGAGAAAGTAAAGCTATCAATAACCTATTCTCTAGTTTCTTGGAGAATAGAGAATTTTAACTGAACTTGGGGGGGTGGGGGTGGAGTGGGACTAGACAGATTCTGAGTCATCTTGTATGTCACACTTGTGGTTGTTTACTCCAATTTCAAAATAACGTTGCCATATGAAACTCTTGAAAATTGTATTTAGAATTATATTGAACATGTTAGCAATGTCCAAAAATGAAAGCTGAGTCTGTAGGTTGGCATTTTCATGGAATATCCCATTAATCAAAGTAAACAAGTGTGCATGTTTTCTTTCATTTTTCCTACAGCAAGGAAATATTTTCATAGTGGATTATGAACTCCTGGATGGTGTTGAAGGCAATAAGACTGACCCCTGCACTGTGCAATATCTGTCTGCTCCAGTCTGCTTATTATATAAGAATTTAGAGAAGAAGATTGTCCCTATTGCAATCCAGGTAATCTATGTTTGACCCACTAAAATAATAATCTTTCGTTATTGAAAGAATTGTTAACTATTTTGTTAACACTTTCCAGATAAAACAAGCTCCTGAGCCAGGGAATCCTATTTTCCTGCCATCAGATGCAAAGTATGACTGGTTATTGGCCAAAATTTGGGTACGTTCTTCAGATTTCCACATCCATCAGACTGTTACTCACCTCCTTCGGACTCACTTAATTTCTGAAGTGTTTGGAGTAGCCATGTTCCGGCAACTGCCTTCCGTCCATCCTCTCTTTAAGGTGGGTTAATTGGGTGCTAGGAAGGTGTGCATATCAGAGATGATTGTTTTGTTTTCTGCAAGACCTGCAATTTTCTGTTAAATGTATTGTTAATAAAAGTAATATTTGATATTGTACAGACGAGAGAGCCCCTGTATATTTAAGGCAGATAAGGCAAACAGCATTCTATCATTATAAGACTGGAACATTATATATATATATATATATATGCTTTCGTAGATTTTCACGGGTACAGGAATGCAGGTTTTGGTGTCCTCGGGTGTCTTCCCGTGTAAAACTTTTACACGGGAAGACACCCGAGGACACCAAAACCTGCATATATATATATATATATATATTCAAGATAATTTGTCCCAGTTCTGTGAAATGTGGCAAGAAAAAATGACCTCTTCTGAATTGTAAAATGGCTCATTTTAAAAATATTCCACTAAGAAAAAGCTAAGATAACACAGTTAAACAGTCTTCTTAAGTTTTTTAAAAAAAACCTGGCCATTTTAATTTTCTTTGAGCCATTTTAATTTGACCAGTATTAGATAAATAAAGCACACAAATAAATAAATAGTGTCTTCAAGTGGCAAATTGTCTACGATGATTTGTGTCAGAAGCTGGAAGTAACGTGCAGGATGAAGATGGATTAATGGTTCATACCTTGTTAAAGAGTGCATCCTGAGGTGCCCTTGGACAACAACACTATGTATAATTGGTCTGAATTATGTGCATCTGTAAGCCTTCTCTGCCCAAATTGACAAATCAATGTCTTTGTATTATTTTGCTGGAGAACCCTATTTAACCTTCAATTCTGGTGCAGTGCAGTCCAACATGTTTGAATATTACCTACATGTTTGAACGCCTTTTGGCAGTACAGTGGTCCCTTGGGTTAAGTACTTAATTCGTTCCGGAGGTCCGTTCTTAACCTGAAACTGCTCTTAACCTGAAGCACCACTTTAGCTAATGGGGCCTCCTGCTGCTGCCGCGCCGCCGGAGCAACATTTCTGTTCTCATCCTGAAGCAAAGTTCTTAACCTGAAGCACTATTTCTGGGTTAGCGGAGTCTGCAACCTGAAGCGTATGTAACCCGAGGTACCACTGTATAAGGTGCATGTTTCTCATACTGTAGATCTGATATCTAGCAGCATCTATCAAATTGTAAAGGACTATGCTTTGAAATTGTCTTCAGTTCATACACATAATTTATATTAAAGCTATAGTTCCTTATTTGAAAGCAAGTTGTTTTGGGAGCCCATCATATTCCATTGTTAACACTGCAGGAATGTTTCATTCTTATCTACTTTCTCTTCTGGTTTACAGCTCCTGGTATCCCATGTGCGGTTTACAATAGCCATCAACACTAAAGCCCGAGAACAGCTTATCTGTGAATATGGCCTTTTTGACAAGGTGAGAGAGCCTCGATTTCATAAGTTTGTACCTCTAGGAAGAGTCTTTCACATAGTTCTTTCAATGACTTTTCTCCATAAAATAAATAAAATTAAATTTAAAAATATTCCTTCCAGTAGCACCTTAGAGACCAACTAAGTTTGTTCTTGGTATGAGCTTTTGTGTGCATGCACACTTCTTCAGATACACTGAAACAGAAGTCACCAGACCCATATATATAGTGAGAGGGTGGGGAGGGGTATTACTCAGGAGGGGGTGGGAATGGGTGATTGACTGATAGGTGTGGTAAACCTGTTGACTGTTAACAACTGCAATTGGTCTTACAGGAAAAAGCAAGGGGTAAGATGGCTAAAAATAGCTTTATCATGTATAATGAGATAAGATAAAGCTATTTTTAGCCATCTCACCCCTTCCTTTTTCCTGTAAGATCAATATTTTATTCAACAGTAAGCTCCACTATATTCCGTGGATTTTACTCTGAAATACCGTACAAGTTGTAAAGGGGCTTCTTATCAGTAAAGAGCTGCCCATGTTGAAGCAGATATGAGCAGCTAAAATAGCAAGGCCAAATAGCAAGGCCAGACAACATGCAGCTGACACAATGCTGGCAGAAGAGAAAACACAGAACTCAAAATAGAGGCTTGGAATTATTACAAAACTAGAGCAGACTGTAAAATAATCAAGTAAACCCAAGCCAAGGCACCAAAGAGAAAAACCCACAAGGTCGGACCTAAAGAAAACCCCCTCACAAGCTCTCTAACCATAGCTGTCAACCTTCCCTTTCTTTGCGGGAAATTCCCTTATTCCAGTGCCGTTTCTCGCTGCTTCCTGCTGCTATCCCAGATTGTTAGGTATCCCGTAGACTGTCCCCGGGACAGGTGAGGCTGCTGATCCCTTATTTTCGAGGCTGCTGATCCCTTATTTTCAAATCTGAAAGTTGACAGCTTGTGCCTCAAACGGCCATGCCTTTTGCATGAAGGAAAATCTCCCCAAAGTAATTTTATTTGGACTCAAGCTAATTGCATACTTTCCAGTCTCCAGTTACTGTAACACTTGGCTTCTTTAAAACAAGCGAACATATACTATTACAAATACTGATTTGCAGTTAAGCAGTTAATCTGTAGAGTGAGATTTTATGCTGGTTCTATTTAGGACTAGCATGACTGACTTAGGTTCATTAATTTAAGTGGGTCTACTCTGAGTAGGTCTAGCATTGGTTATAACCTATTCCAGTGTCTTTCATATTATGTTTACCATCCACTTAGCTGGCAGGTTTCTTATTCTGTAAAGGGAACAATAAATACAATTTTTACGCAATGACTATGTAAAGGAAAGCACACGTCCTTATTTCTTGCTTGGCCTGACAAGGTTGTATGCATTCTTTGGAGGACTTGGAAGTGGTCAACGGCCCATGCCTTGGGCATGTGTGTCCGTCAAGGAGGTTTACAATGGCACTAATCCCACTCCATGTAGATCCATGTGCACTATGTCATGGCTGCGTGATGCAGGTATCAAAACTTCACTCCAGTGTGGCCCAGGCCCTCATCTCCAAATCCACTTGTACAGTAAGATCCTCCCCATTGTTAAGAACACTCATATTTAAGGCTATGGAACACAGGAGCCAACTCTTAGGGGCCAATGTCCTTTTGCCCCCCCCAATAAAAGATTTGAGGGGGCTGCCCCCTCCCCAAGTTGATGGGTATTGCCATTCAAATGGTGTGTGTGTGCCATATCATGTGATCAATTAACGGTCCCCACATGTTTTATTCAAGTTGGCCCCTCTTCTATGGAGCCTCCATTCCTTAATGCTCTCTGCCACTTGTTTTGGGTGCCAAAGGCCAATGCCACCGGAGGAGGAGGACTTGCGCAGATACTCCAGCGAGCGATGAAGCACCTCACCTACAGTTCCCTGTGCTTCCCTGAAGAAATCAAGGCAAGAGGCATGGAAAGCACGGAGGAGATTCCATACTACTTTTATCGGGATGATGGTCTCAAAGTGTGGGAGGCCATAAAGAGGTAGGAGATGGTCTGAAATAAATTTTATTTTGTCATGCTGAGAACCAGGAAATCTAACGGAGATCTTGGAAGTGTGAATCTACCTATTGCATGTTCTGTTTAACAACGTTCCACACGAGGTGCTTTTTGAAGGAGCTGAGAATAGTCACATGGCCACTAGGTCATAGTGAATCCATTTTGTTTTGCTCTGTGACAGATGACTCATATTATTGGTGGAGGACCAGTATTGGGGATGGTCCTGTTAGCCACCATTTTTGAAGGGTCTAATAGGCATGGCTCTGCCACCTACCTCTACAAAGGCTTCCCTATAACCCTCGACTTGGATTTCTCAACATTTCTTTGTTTGCTCATATCGTTTATCCAGATCCACTCATACTATATTTCTAGGAGTATCTGTCTGGACCAAGCTGCCTGCCTAGTCGGGTCCTCCCTTAAAGAGGGCACGTGCTGCGGTGAGACCTGGCAACCAAACCCTGTGTTGTGGGTGGGTTTGATTGAATAACCACAACACCCAATTGGTAGGTCCCTTGATGCTGGGTTTAATCAGGCCAATGGGACACAAGCTAAATGGATCAAGGGACCTATATTTACCCATGCACGTGACCCAGAGCTTCCTCTTTCGGTGCATGCATCGGAACACCCGCCCACCTCTCCCTACTTTTAGGGCATTTTTTGCAATTGACCTTGCTATGCCGTCGTCTGTCATCTGTCATTGGGACAGGGGCATGGCAGGAATTTTCCCCACTTGGCTGATTGGCTGGTGCCATTTGGGTTTTACCTGCCGTGTAGCAAATCGTCACAACTTGTAAGGTTGCGGATAGGCTCTGGTTCAGGTGATAGCGATGGGGGAACACTCTCACCATCCCTATGTGAAGGGTTTTCCATTAAAGGAATCCAGGGACTCAATGGTTTGGTCAACCCCTGTGAGGGGGTTGTGCCTGTGCCTGAGTCCAGAAGGGCATTTGGGTGGTGGACATAGCCTGTTCCCGGCTTTCTGCTTATCCAGGTGTTCACCCTTGGCTGACCTATGCTGGAACCCTGGGTCAGCGCTACCTGCAACGGTGCAGGGAGCTAGTCGAACCAGAGCCTATACAACCACTCACTTGCTGTAATCAATAAAGTTGTGGCCTAAATTCTGCCAAAAACCAAACCAAAATTTGAGTCTTGTCTGAATTTAAGAGGGAGGTTTAAAGGTCTGAACATGCAAATACAGACAACCAGATTACCATGAGGTAAGGATTTGTACAATGGCTTTGCTGGGTTGTCTGCAGGGCCAAAAGTAGAAATCTTGGCACCTGAGATTTGGCAACATGAAACATGCCCTTTATGATATAAATAATCCCCAGATGAAGAGTGGTATAGAATCAGAGAATCTTAGAACTGTAGAGTTGAAAGGGACTCCTGCTACCTGTTGTAACAAATCACATCGTAATGCCTTGCGGAAGACACACAGTTTATCCATGACAGAAATTATCTTTCTGCCTCATTCAGGGTTGACATTAGCCGTGGACTTCTCACGTGTAAGGAAACACACAAGAGAAGCAGAGGTATGCTGCCATCAGCACGTAATTTAGTGACCTCCATGCGTTCAAGGGTAAAGATCAGAAACAGGGAGCCTTCTCTACTCATGGAGTTTTCCCACACAATTATAAACCCTGCTTCTGAAAAATATATTGGCTCCGCCCAGAGAAGTATGTGGAAGCAAGATGGGCAGGGTACCACTGGACACCATTAAGGAAAATTTCGAAATATAATTCATCCAGACTTTTTGTTCTGTCTCTAACCTAATGTGATGCTGAGTATTGACATACAAAGCAGCCTGCTGTTGTTTTTCTACGGGGAAATACAGATTTTTTCAGATACTGCGAAAGCTTGCGGCCCTCCCACTTCCCAGTTGCATTTTTTTACAAAAGTTATATGTGCCTGTGTGTGTGCACTCAGTGTTAACGGAGCAGTTCAAGAGAATGTAAAAGCTTTTAGTCAGTTTCCTTTCTGTTTTCTGCAGCTTTGTGACAGATGTTGTGGACCTCTATTACGATAGCGAAGAGATGGTTTCTGAAGACGTGGAACTCCAGGGCTTTGTGAAGGACGTCTATGTTTATGGGTTGAGAGGAACCAAGGCTTCAGGTGAGACCTGCTAGCCAGATTCTCTGTCCTGTGGCATTGCTGGCTAATGAACATAAATGCATTCCTCCTTTGATCTGAAGCTGAGTTAGTTTGTAATAAATTAGCTTAATCATAGTTGTTCTCAGGGTCTGGGTAAGTTCATATGGAGAAAGGTGGTTCTTGAGGCATTGCAGTCCTGAGCCGTTTAAGGCTTATAGGTCAAAACCAGCATTTGAATTGGGCCTGGAAGCTAATTGGCAGCCAGTGCAGTTGGACCAGGATTTTCTCATACCGTCTTGCCCCAATGAGCAACCTGGCCACTGAGTTCTGCACTAGCTGAAGCTTCTGAACTGTGTTCCGGGCAACCCTATATATAGCGCATTTCAGTAATCCAGCCTAGAGGTTACCAGAGCATAGACAACAGAAGTTAGGCTGTCCCTGTTCAGATAGGGGGGCAGCTGGGCTACCAGCCAAAGCTGGTGGAAAGCAATCTGCACCACTGAGGCCACCTGAGGCTCAAGCAACAGAAAAGGATCCTTAAGTAGCCCCAACCTTTGTAGCTGCTCCTTCAGAGGGAGCGTAACCTAGGGACCCTTGTACTTACTGGACCGTCTCTCCTGGTATGCCCCGCAGAGGACCCTAAGGTCCATGAATAATAATAGCTTGAAGGTCCCGGGCCCTAAGGAAGCCAGACTATCCTCCACCAGGGCCAGGGCTTTTTCAGTGATGGCTCCAACCTGGTTTTAACGCTCTGTCCCACGAGACTAGGGCCCTACAGGACTTGATCTCCTTCCGCAGGGCCTGTAAGACAGAGCTATTCCGCCTGGCCTTCAATTTGAATTAGCCTGATCCTCTATTCCCTTTCCTCCTTTCCTCTTCTATGAAGAAACCCTTTCTGGGACTCCACATTTAAATTCTTCCCTGGTCTCCTTGCTGGCCCTAGTAGGACCAACTTGGCCAGTTAGCCCTGGTGATCATTTGATGTCTACTGTCTGGGTTTTTTGTTTCCCCCCAAAATGACCCCTGAATTTTTGAATTTTATTGATATTGATGCTGCATTTTATGTTGTATTTTATGTTGTTTTAGACTGTTTTTAAGTTGCATTTTAATCAATGTTTTATATTTGCTGTTAGCCGCCCTGAGCCCAGTTTTTAAACTGGGAAGGGCAGGGTATAAATAAAAATTTATTATTAATTTATTCTCAAGAGCAGGCAAGCTCCCCTTCCATCCGGTCTCATCTCATGGGACAGTGAAAAATAAATGTTGTGTTTCCAGGTGGGGGAGAATTCAGAAAAGTTCCACAGCCTTCCTTTAGTTTATTAATTACTAATATTATTAGAATCATAGAATCATAGAGTTGGAATAGACCACAAGGGCCATCGAGTCCAACCCCCTGCCAAGCAGGAAACACCATCAGAGCACTCCTGACATATGGTTGTCAAGCCTCTGCTTAAAGACCTCCAAAGAAGGAGACTCCACCACACTCCTTGGCAGCAAATTCCACTGTCGAACAGTCAGGAAGTTCTTCCTAATGTTTAGGTGGAATCTTCTTTCTTGTAGTTTGGATCCATTGCTCCGTGTCCGCTTCTCTGGAGCAGCAGAAAACAACCTTTCTCCCTCCTCTATATAACATCCTTTTATATATTTGAACATGGCTATCATATCACCCCTTAACCTCCTCTTCTCCAGGCTAAACATGCCCAGCTCCCTTAGCCGTTCCTCATAAGGCATCGTTTCCAGGCCTTTGACCATTTTGGTTGCCCTCCTCTGGACACGTTCCAGTTTGTCAGTGTCCTTCTTGAACTGTGGTGCCCAGAACTGGACACGACACAGTACTCCAGGTGAGGTCTGACCAGAGCAGAATACAGTGGCACTATTACTTCCCTTGATCTAGATGCTATACTCCTATTGATGCAGCCCAGAATTGCATTGGCTTTTTAGCTGCCGCGTCACACTGTTGGCTCATGTCAAGTTTGTGGTCAACCAGGACTCCTAGATCCTTTTCACATGTACTGCTCTCAAGCCAGGTGTCCCCCATCTTGTATTTGTGCCTCTCATTTTTTTTGCCCAAGTGCAATACTTTACATTTCTCCCTGTTAAAGTTCATCTTGTTTGTTTTGGCCCAGTTCTCTAATCTGTCAAGGTCGTTTTGAAGTGTGATCCTGTCCTCTGGGGTGTTAGCCACCCCTCCCAGTTTGGTGTCATCTGCAAATTTGATCAGGATGCCCTTGAGTCCATCATCCAAGTCGTTGATAAAGATGTTGAATAAGACCGGGCCCAAGACAGAACCTGTGGCACCCCACTAGTCACTCTTCTAGTTATTACTACTAGTACTGCTCTTATTAATTTAACTCTTCTTTTTTCAGGATTTCCTAAGACAATAAAGACACGCCAGAAGCTGTCAGAATATCTTACCGTAGTGATCTTTACAGCATCTGCACAACATGCAGCAGTAAATTTTGGTCAGGTACAGTTTATCTGGAAGCAATTCTGTCCTTGAACTTCTAAAGTGGGTTTACACACCAGTCCAGATAGTCTACAGTTTGATAAAGAAATATCAACGATGAGAATAGTGGGGTCACCTGAGTGCCTGTTAAAATGCATAGAGCAGCCTAACCAAAATGTTGTCTTCCTGGTGATTTGGACACGGATAGCTCTGCAGTTGGGACGCGGGTGGCGCTGTGGGTAAAACCTCAGTGCCTAGGACTTGCCGATCGTATGGTCGGCGGTTCAAATCCCCGCAGCGGGGTGAGCTCCCGTCTTTCGGTCCCAGCTCCTGCCCACCTAGCAGTTCGAAAGCACCCCTAAGTGCAAGTAGATAAATAGGTACCGCTTTATAGCGGGAAGGTAAACGGCGTTTCCGTGTGCTGCGCTGGTGCTGGCTCGCCAGAGCAGCTTCGTCACGCTGGCCACGTGACCTGGAAGTGTCTCCGGACAGCGCTGGCCCCCGGCCTCTTAAGTGAGATGCACAACCCTAGAGTCAGACACGACTGGCCTGTACGGGCAGGGGTACCTTTACCTTTAGCTCTGCAGTCTAAGCCACTGAGCCTAGGGCTTGCCGATTGGAAGGTCGGCAGTTCAAATCCCTGCGACGGGGTGAGCTCCCGTTGCTCAGTCCCAGCTCCTGACCACCTTGCAGTTTGAAAGCACATCAAAGTGCAAGTAGATAAATAGGTACCACTCCGGTGGGTAGGTAAACGGCATTTCCGTGCACTGCTCTGGTTTGCCAGAAGCGGCTTAGTCATGCTGGCCACACAACCGGAAGCTGTCTGCAGACAAACGCCGGCTCCCTCAGCCTATAGAGCGAGATGAGCACCGCAACCCCAGAGTCGGCTATGACTGGACCTAACGGTCAGGGGTACCTTTACCTTTAATAGCAGTTCTGTCCCCAAACATCTGGCAGGCACAAGTCTTGAGAAAGCTAGGAATGGAGTAAAGGAAACAAAACAGCACTTTTGTGACCATCCTATCCTAAAAACACATCAACAGTGTCTTTTTTTAAAAAAAGAAGTCTTCTTTCGTAATGCCTAAAACCTATTCACCAACACTACCAGTCAAGTTTCTAGCAGTGAAGTTGAAAGACGTTCCCTTCTCAAGCCCAGCCTGAGCTTCAACTTGAATTGAAGGAGGTTGGGCGGGGAGGGATCCTGCTAGCAGTTAGCCCTGGTGTCAGCTTCAAGAAAAGTCCAGCAAGGGCGTCTGAGTGCTGAAAGCCAGCTTTATTTCCCAGCCTAGCAATTTTGCTGCTTGGTGGACAATTTGGCTTGGCATGGGCTTGGCCAATGAAATGCTTAAATCATAGCTGAATGTTAAGATCAGTAAGCCATAGTTAAAAGCATTGTGCTGTGTTCTAATGGAAAAATAAGCCACAGGCTGTTAATTCACTTTTATTTAAACCACAGCTTAACATGATATGTGAACCAGGTCAGAGGCATACCAGACTGAGGAGGAGGAAAAAATGACAAAAGGGAGGAAGGAGGGATTGCAGTAGATTAGAGATAATCCGACTGCAGTTTCACCAGAGAATAAAGGGAAGACTTTGGAAATGCTCAGAACTGAGATGTGGTGAGGGCAGAGGAGGGCCAAAGTTTGCACATCTGTGAAGTACAGGAAACCACAGTATTTGTAACAGTTAACATAACAGTTTTGAGAAGATGAGAAATGAGGATGGCTGCCACCATCAACATGCATGTTTCTGCACCCATCACCTTGAAATATACTCAGAGTCCTGTAGTGATTTCATGCTCTTTATTGCAGCTTGTAAAACAGTGATTGAATTTCCCCCCAAACCTCAGGCTTTTATATACATTATTTACACAATGAGTCCCGTCTGATTGGCTGATTCTGCTTTCTTCCTGGAGCCTGATTGGTCTTCTCCTGCAGGCCAATCAGTTGTTGCATTCTAGGATCCTACCCGCCTATTGTTCTAGGATCCAAGCTTAGTATGTAACACACCTGTTTATATTTTGGAAAATACCTCACGTATTGGTACATCATGTTATATCGTGCAGTTCAGGTAGAGTTCTGTTTTAGGTATCTGCGCTTTATGCTTTTCTTTTGATGCATAAAATCAGCTCACCATGTGAACTGAAACTGCTGTGAAAGGGCAGGTTGCCGAATCGCAATTCTCAATTGATGCTAAACTTGTTGTTCTCTTGGAGGTTACCCATTTTCTCGTTAGGCATTATTTCCCCTAATGATAATCTGCTAATCTGGGGCATTATTTTGAGCTATTTAGGCTAGTGGCTGCTGCTGGCTCTTTACATTGGTGGGACACAGGATAGCTAATGATAGGTAGTTGGCTGCAGTACTGAGCACACTTCTATAAAATAAAGTTCCGCTGGACGCAGTGGGAGTTACTTCTGAGTAAATGCATAGGGTTGTGTTGTAGTCACAGCTAAGTCACTTTTCAGCAGTATGCCTGCTCGTTACAGATTGTGTCAGTGTTGTTGTTTAGTCGTTTAGTCGTGTCCGCCTCTTCGTGACCCCATGGACCAGAGCACGCCAGGCACCTCTGTCCTCCACTACCTCCCGCAGTTTGGTCAAACTCATGCTGGTAACCTCAAAAACACTATCCAACCATCTCGTCCTCTGTCATCCCCTTCTCCTTGTGCCCTCCATCTTTCCCAACATCAGGGTCTTCTCCAGGGAGTCTTCTCTTCTCATGAGGTGGCCAAAGTACTGGAGCCTCAGCTTCACGATCTGTCCTTCCAGTGAGCACTCAGGGCTGATTTCCTTAAGAATGGATGCGTTTGATCTTCTTGCAGTCCATGGGACTCTCAAGAGTCTCCTCCAGCACCATAATTCAAAAGCATCAATTCTTCGGCGATCAGCCTTCTTTATGGTTCAGCTCTCACTTCCATACATCAGTACATCCTTCCAATAGAGAAACCATCGTAAACAGTTATTTTACCACACAAAGTCCAATCCAAAGCAGGTTTAGTCAGCCCTACTGAATACATAGGACTTGCTCCAAAGAAAGTGTATTAGACATTAGGGTTTTCTACTCCCCGCTCCCTCCACTGCCTTTAACACCAGCCTGACATTAAAGAGTAAGTCACAGGGGCGGGGCGGAAATGGGCAAAAACCAGTGCCCCATACCAGACTCTGGACTAAATTTCATGACTTTTCAGTTATGACTTCTTATATTAGCTCATCCTGCATTAACAAAGAGGAAGTGGAAATGAGAATCCTGTCTCATCCTTCCAGATGCAGCCCTCAAAAACATGCTCCAATGTGGGATTATGCTACATGGGACTGAAGCTCCAATGAAAAACCCTTTTTGTATAAACAGGAGTGTCTTCCAGCCACACAAGCACCCTTTATTATTCATAGAGATTCCTATATCTTACTGGCTCTGTCCTGTTATTTCCCAGTACGACTGGTGTTCCTGGATTCCTAACGCCCCTCCAACGATGCGTCGCCCGCCCCCTACAGAAAAGGGGAGCGTCACCATTGAGTATATTGTGGAGAGTTTACCGGACAGAGGGCGCTCCTGTTGGCATCTTGGTGCTGTTTGGGCCTTGAGCCAGTTTCAAGAGAACGAAGTAAGTGAAACTTCTAAGATATTCCCCTCATATATCTCAGTCATAATGCATGAGGCCAAAGCTGCAGGTCAGCGCTTAGCTTGGAAATCCATGTTTTCCATAGTGCTTTCAGAGCATTTTGATGAGTTGTCAAAAATTTGGGGCCTGTTAACATTTCCCGTAAACACACTTCTGGACAGCTCTAACTGCAGGAACTGAAAGATGCTTTCGTTTTTGCCAATCCCTATGGGGGTGGTGCTGTGGGTTAAACCACAGAGCCTAGGGCTTGCCGATCAAAAGGTCGGCGGTTCGAATCCCTGCAACAGGGTGAGCTCCCGTTGCTCAGTCCCTGCTCCTGCCAACCTAGCAGTTCGAAAGCACATCAAAGTGCAAGTAGATAAATAGGTACTGCTCCGGCGGGAAGGTAAACGGCGTTTCCGTGCGCTGCTCTGGTTCGCCAGAAGTGGCTTAGTCATGTTGGCCACATGATCCAGAAGCTGTACGCCAGCTCCCTCAGCCAATAAAGCGAGATGTGCGCCGCAACCCCAGAGTCGGTCATGACTGGAAATACTTTATTGTCACTCGTACAACTTGTATACAGTGAGATTACACAAGCACCCCCCACTCAGCTCTCTTAGTCTTAATTCCCCTCGTTTACTGACGCACACCTGCCAAACCCAAAAGTCAGTTGCCCTGTTGTTATCTTTTCATTCAGCAGCCTAACAGCCAACGGATAGAAGCTGTTCTTTACCCTGTTGGTGCGACTAATATTTAATACTAAATATATTTAATTAAATATATAATTAATATTTAAATATCATATTTGCTCACTAGACGAGGAAGGGTCTATTTTTGCAGTGTCTCAAAATTAGCTGCATTATTTCTTTTAGACATTTCCCAACAGATACGTTTTGTGACTTCTTCTCCAAACTAGGTGTTTCTGGGGATGTATCCAGATGAACATTTCATAGAGAAGCCAGTGAAAGAGGCCATGAGGAAATTCCGCAAGAATCTTGATGAAATTACCAGTTGCATTGCTGAGCGGAACAGGAACAAAAAACTCCCCTACTATTATCTTTCCCCGGATCAAATACCTAACAGTGTGGCTGTTTGAATTAGCCTTTCCAAAGACTTGAAAAGGCAGTGAACTGGAGTGACAATCATGGCAAATTATCTACATGCAAATCAGATGGCTTCAAACCAAATTGGGTCTTAATTTGTACTAGATACTATTGTAGTTTTAAGTTTTCTTTGAATATCTATCCCTCATATATAATTAGTTGATACCGTGTTACAGTTCGATAATAATTTTTATAATTGTCAGGAAATACAAACCCTTAAGGAACATTTTTTTACCTTAAAAACAGAACCTCTACCAATGGGGAAACTCTATTCCACACATTTGTTTCTTATTTGTGGTCAGAACACCTCTGTTTTGGAAGCTGTTACCCCGTTTTCAGTAAGTTTTTTGTTTTTAGGAACCGAGTGAATGTATGATTTCCATAAGGAATGTTTGTTGGCTGGTCTGGTTGTTTTTACAGGAGCTCACCAGCAATTTAAAAATTGCTTTTGTTGGGGTTCAGAACAACAGATGAAGACATTAAGGATGGTCTGGGGGACATGGAACTGGGGAAGATTGAAGCCAAAGGAGTGTCTGAGCTGATTTCCATGCCACCCAGGGGCCCACAATATTATCTAAGGCGGAAGGAAGAGTAGCAACATAAGTTGCTCCCTTCATTTGCCATCAGAAAGAAGAACCCCAGATCATCACACACACCCCCACCCACCCAGCAGTGTTGTGCTTCCTTTAAGGGAGCGGGAGCTGCAAGAGTCCAGTTGGAGGTTGACCTTTGTAAGGTGAGCAGGCTGGACTTGGGAGTTTTCAGCAGATTTTGAGCTGAGCTCTGCTTGCTTTGGATATGCACACAGGCTTTCGAATGGGGCCAGTCACATTTTCAACGACCCCCTTCAAATGCTTGTGACATTCCTGGTTGTCGTTTTTATAATGATAAGAATACTTACAAGTCTCATATATGCCCAGTTTGGGGGGGGGGTCTACCAGTTGCCTAGCAGGAAACAAGGTCTCATTATCTCCCCAAGTCAGAAGAGTGGTACTATTGGTCCTTGACCGTCCACAATGTAATATATAAATACCAGCTTTCATTGGAAGGTTCTGTGAAAGATTTTACAGCTTCCTTAAGCACTTTGTTGAACTGCTTCTGTGATTCCTTAACATGTAAACAAAAATCCTTCCTTACATGTTCAATGGATAAAGTGGATTATTATGTCCCCACTTTCCTGTTTGTTTGTTTGTTTTTACATTATTTTAAATACTTCAGAACCAATGTCATTCTTATTCAGCATGCAAAAGCTTTGTTTTTTTTTAAAGATGATGTAGTTGTTCCTGAAATGCACTTATTTACTAAATTAGGAAGAGATTGATAAAATATCAGAGCAACCCAAGCCCTGGTCTAATAGTGACAGCCCATCACAGAGCCCATCACATGCCAGTCATGCCAGCTAGGGCAGAAAGGGCAGGCAAAACCCTGGAGCTGGCCTAGCGATGGGACCCAATGCTATCCAGGGGTGGATCCTGAGCTGGATCAGCCCCCCTCTGAAATGCCCTATTTGGGGCTGCCTGTGCGCTGCTGTCACTGGCAGAACACCTACTACTGGTGGTTACTGCCTCCTGCCCACATTTTTGAGCTGGTTGAACAGAGAGCTTTATGCCAGTGGAGTAATGCGAATCTATCTGTAGGCAGAGGCTGGTGGAGGGAGACAGGGCGGATTAGGAGTTTGAATCTGAATTAAATTATTCTGCTGGAAACCCACTAATTTTAGTTGACATACTGTTGTATAATGCAACAGTGATACGAAGTTCGAATCTTTGCGATGTGCATAGATTTAGTTAGCGCATTGCACATTGCCTGCATGTCTGCTCAGAAGTAAAACCCATCAAGCTCAACTGGTTTTCTTCCAAAGTAAATTCACATAGGATTGCAGTCTAAATTGTTTTATGTTAAAATTATGCAGGGTTTTGATAGCGTGAGAGATGAGCACCACTTCCTATTTTTCAGATAACTAAAAGCTCATCAGTTTTCTGTTCACCACAGTGACTACATAGTGCTGACTGCAAGAATCATAAGAACTTTTGCTTGTCCAATGACTTCCTCTTCCAAGATATCATAGTTTCAGTTCCACAATTGCTAAAATAAGATGATTAATCTATTTCAAGCCTTCTTAGCAGGTCCCAATTCCATTGCAATCTTGTTGCTCAAATTCATTTTTATCACAATTAAATTATCCTCTTTTTCAAAATTTGAGTAATTTGGGGTCCCCCTCAAAACCCGGTTAATCAACTTCTATAGTATATTAAATAACACTGAGATTTCAATATGTCACCAGGCGCTTCATGCTTCCTTTGCTATCAGTAGAACACAGTCCTTCACAAACGAACCATGGTAAGGAAGGTATTAGGATTTTCTTTGGAACATTTCCAATAGGTAGTGCTCGCTGCCATCGCTGTGAATTGACCAGCACTGGATCTCCTATTTTGGTGTGGGAACGCAGGCAAACAGGCAAAATGTAATGTAGTAAACCAACATTTACGCACTTTCGGCCTAAAACCACATCCCTTGAAGTGCAGGAAAGGCAAACCCAAGCCCTCAAGTTCCCCAGATGCTGAGCAGCTGAGCAGAGCTCTAAGCAGACCTTGGAGGTGACACCATCTTCAACAGAACAAAGGCAATTGTGGTGGGAGCTGGTTGGTTGAAGTCCTTCAGGAGAAAGATTCTCTCTTCCTCTGTTTTGTCTTTTAACAGGAGACTAGTTGTCTGAAAATAGTGATGAGCTCAGCGTGTTTCCAAGGCCACCCCCCCCCCATATATTTTATGCTTGATATTGTTACGGCTTTAAGGTGTTTTTAAAAATAGTAAAGTGGTTTATAAATGATATTAAATAAACAAACAGCATTTTATTCCTGTGCTGGTGTGACTTTTCACTCTTTTCGTAGCTTGTATAAAACTGTTTGGGACTGCCTCATGCCAGCTCTCTAGCCATTCCAACTGAAAAGGATTTTTTTAAAGGCTTAAAACAATACTCAAAGGGTATCAAATTCCTTTCCTTTACCCTGATCACCTGTGCAGCAAATCAGAAGAATCTGAGTGGCTTCCCCACCCATCCTTTTCCCATGCATGGCTCCTCCTCGACCTCTCCCAGCCCTTCCTGTTCTCCTAGCCCTTTTCCTCCCAGTAATAACATCCCGAGACCCATAGCACTCCATTCCCTCTGCATCCCTTGACTTCTTTGGCAGAAGGATTCTTGCTGCTCTGCATGGTGAGTAGAAAGCCTTTTGTTTGTGTGGCAAAAGGGGTTTGTGCGTGGTCTACCTAGAGATTATCTTGTGGCTAGTTACGACCCCCCAGGAGTCAATTTGGGAGCAGTACCCACAAAAGTTTCACAAATTCCAGCAGGCCCCTGGTCCCCCCAAAAAGTTGGGGACTCCTACTCCAGTCATTTCCCAAACGATTTATTGATGACAGCAATTTTGAGTCAGTTTGGGTCCAATGTTATCCACATTCTGTCTTGGCTGCAATTTCCTGAAAAATTTGGTTTCTAGTGTTTTTAGCCAATGGCCATTACAATGCAACTCCAGAGCAAAAATTTAAGCTGTCAGCCCTTAAAATTGCAAAGTTCCCCAAATCATTCCAGGATAAAATCATAGATTTATGAATAAGTGCTTTTAGAGATCTTCAGAAGTAATGCACCAGCTACCAGGTGAACTATGTGGGATTATAAATAGTATTATGTAGGAACTTATTTTACATTACAGATATACCTTGGAAATTGAACGGAATCCGTTCCGGAAGTCTATTCGACTTCCAAAACGTTCGGAAACTGAGGCACGGCTTCCGATTGGCTGCAGGAGCTTCCTACAGCCAATCAGAAGCCGCAGAAGGCCTGCTGGGTGTTTGGCTTCCAAAAGAATGTTTGAAAACCAGAACAATCACTTCCGGTTTTTGATCGCTCGGGAGCCGAAACATTCGGCAACCAAGCCATTCGAATTCCAAGGTATGACTGTGTATCCAGTTTATCCAGAGCTACTTCAGTTGCTGCACCACATAAAAAGCAAGAGACAGTTTTAGCAACAAAATTTTTTATTGTCATTTCTAACAAATGATGACCTAAGGGTCACAATAAAGTGTCTTTATAGCATCCAATGAATGGGCAGGTGACATTTTAATTGCTTCCAAATGGGTGTGTGCCACAGGGTGTTTTCACAAAAATGAAGCAACACCGTTTGACCATTCGGGACCCACTTATGCCTTATAAGAAACACCACCACTTTGTTCTTATTACAGTATAAATCTTCCTGCTTACAATAAATTTCATGTTGGAGAAGCAATCTTCTCCATTAGAATGTTTCGATTATCAATTGAGGGGAGTCAGGGAGAGAAGAGAGTTATTGTATGAGGGTTATTACATAAAAACAGTAGTGGGGACAAAATACAACACTGTTGTACTCCCTTTATGTAAATATTGAATATAAAAGACAGCCTGCAAGTGCAGTTTAAATTTTTGCATCATTATAAGGAACAACAGCCACTTGTCATTTATCCAGTGAATTGGCTGTGAAGTTTTCCCCAAAGTCAGATGAGAGTTCAACAAATGCAACACACAAGTTTTTTTGGTGGACTGCTAATGTACTTTTGCAAAACGTCGTCGTCATTGATCAATTGTACTACTGAGAAAGCCAGCCGGCACTGGCTACAGGACTGAGGAGCTGCTTCTCTTTTCAATCTATTGTTCTAGCTTACCTAAAAGATGTCATGCATATATATATTTTTGTGGGAACAAGACAAATTACTGGGTGACAGTTTGGTGAGTCACCCCACCTGCCTTTCTTAAAAGATCTGAACTAAAATACTTGATGTTGAGAAAACTAGCAGAATGTCCTTCGTATTCAAGGAACAGTCAGTACCACCAGTCGTATCAGTTTGCAACAGGTCTCAGAGCAGGCATGCAAACCTCTGCCCGACGGCCAAACCAAACCTGCCAGGCCCCAGTGCTGCCCCAGGCTGTGAGGCCCTGGGGAGCTTCTGCACCAAACCCCTTGCCAGCCCTGAGCTTGGCATTTGGGCAGAGCAAATGACTCTCCTATGCGGAAAGAATTACTCATTCCGTTCTGCATCTTTTGAACATCCCCTCTGTATTCTGGGAAAAAATTAAAACAAGACTTGTAAAACAATCCATTAGTAGTTAATTCAATTTTTTAAATGATAGAAAACTGTAAAATTGCATATCTTTATAACTCACATTGTGTCCTCTTTTGTATTCCCAAACCTTGTAAGACTCTTGCTGTGTAATAAGCTTGTTTGGTAATCTGTATCATTATTGCTTGCCTGCCTCTCACAGTATGCTAAAAGTATGAAAAGAAGCAATAGAATTTATTCAGGCTCATGATTTTTCTTTAAAAGTCTCCCACTTTCCACTTTGTTTTTAGCTAGGCAATCTTTGTCAATGCCAAAACCTTTTGTCCAAATGCACTTATAGTACATTCTTCAATGCAGGGAAATATAACATACAGTGCAGATAAGGAATTCGAAGGAAACCCAGCTGAATAAATAGCAAAGGGAGTGATGCTAATATCTTAAACTTATAACATAGATGAAGATGAGATTGAATATTTTGGAGGCTTAGTAACATTTCAAGAAGTTCATGATTTAGCTAGGCCAAATACTTGGGGGGGGGAGGGGGCGTTATCAAAGGAAGGAACATCAAACTGCAATCTTAATGTATTATGTTTAGAGCAATCTGTACAGTAAATTAGGTTCCTTCCATCAGAACTCCCTGGCCTTTGAAAAGCGTCTTACTGTTATAGCACGGCTTCTTCTCTTCTCCACTGCGACAGCTCAGAAATGTCATTTTGGAAAAGGCTCTTTATAGAAAGGGCTCTTTTATAATCTTTGAAAATAATGCTTGCTATTTTAAAGTGCACCGCTTTTCATGAACACAGTCTCTCAAGTCTTTTTTCTTTAGACACATTTTGTCAGAACTCACACTGAAATTCAGGCAGGCACACTTCCATCATGGGAGATCTTACAGCAGAAACATGATGGGCACTGCAAAGATTATTGAAGCAGTGGTGCTAGGAAAGGAAAGCCTTTTAGCTGTTGGCAGTCAGACAACCTGCTTTTCTGCCCCACGGAAGCCCCCCTCTAAAACTAAACATTTGCCCTGTTTTTAAGAGCAGGTAAAATTTGTTCGCTACAATGTTCTTTCCCTATTTTCTCAACTAGAAAAAAGATATACCTTAAAATTCAGTAGGATGAAACTCTTAACAAGTGATATGTTTGGAATTATTGTTCGAGTAAAAATTAAGGCACTTGGCATGCAATCATAAGGGCCCCTAGGACAAATCAGATCACCTCCTCCTATGCTGGGGACAGAGATCTGATGTCAGAAGAAACCTCCCAACTTCTGGCTCCTCCAATGCCCTGGCCAAGCCATCGTTGGAGATCCAACATCAGCAGGGCCAACCAAAATGGAGAGCATTTGAAGGTCCACCGCCCCCCTGACACACACCCAAACTGGAGATATCCAGCCACGCTCTTGAGTAATATAACCACTTTCATATTCCCCTCCCTCCCCATCTTTGGACTGCACTACAATTAAGATTTCATAAATTTACAAAGCAATACGATGTTAAATACTAAATCATACACATGTCATGGTCTTCATAGTAAACAGTAAAGTACATTTAAGTTTGATACAAATAAGTTCACAGTCACTGGTTTTGTTTATTACATTAACTAATGATGTTGGTCTAAACACCTTTGTTAGAGAACTTTGATTTGCAAAAGTTCTTTGGAAATAAATCAGAAGTTTATAGAAAATATTGAAACAGTCAAAATGGAAAACAGAGTTGTATGTGGCCACATGGACCAATGTATTTTTCAAGTTATTTTAAAGGATCTTATCCCCTTTAGGAAGTGTGATCAGCTGATCAAAACAACCAACATCACACAGTTCACTTTATGAATTCTTGTTAAATGTTCTACTTGAAATTCCCAGGTGGAAATAACAGAAAACATACATACAAGCAGCGTCCCAACGCCTTCAAAATGCAGCATCAAAATTCCCTTTGCAATTCTCTGTATAAGAAATCAGCGTATCGACTGAGTCTTCACTCTTCAGACAAGCAATTCGAAACACTGAAATGAGTCTACATTTAATCTATGGTTATATCAATTTTTCCTTGTTACAAAACTCAAATGTGCAATATTCCCAGAAAAAAATGTACTCTGGAAAAATGCCCAGAGAACTTGTAGTGTTAGGCTTAAGAATGTTTGTAGATTCTTAATATAAACCATGTCTCCTTTTCGTTGTTTTAAGGCAAGTGGTTAGCTCTATGTTGCAACTGAGTCTTGATTAAGTCAAAGGAACAAACCGAAAAGAAATTATTTAATTTTTCAAAAATAAAATAAAAACAATTAAGGGAGCAATCCTATGCTCCCTGAAAGGGTGGCAAAGGGGTCATAAGATGCTGTGGACCTCTGGTACCAGAGACAGTCTGCTGTAAGCTTTGCAAGTGTGATGGTGAAAATCTATCTTGTTGTCACTGCTCTGATTATGACTGAGCAAGGAACAGCAGTTGCTGGATGTGTGACCAGGGAGTTTATGGGTCTGCAGGATAATATGGCTACTTGTTCCCCTGGCACTCCTCCAAAAAGTTCCTTAAGTGCTGGTGCAGTTAATTCTGTCCCACTGGCTGCAATGGGAGGGAACAAAATGAAAAACAAAGGGAGGGGTGAACCACACCACTTCCTGCTCTGGTTGCCACAGATCTCTCTCCCTCGATAGGTAGGATTGCTCCCTTAAAGTGCTCTATGCTTTGCAACCTCTTTTTTCCTGTTGTAATATTCAGCAACATCTCACAGCTGGAACTTAAGCAGATTGCTTGAGGTAATATTAGAACTACAT